ATGGAGATTAGTCCACACACGGGGTAGAAGGGAGTGAGATGGAACAGATGGAGATTAGTCCACACACGTGGAAGAAGAGCGTGAGATGGAACAGATGGAGATTAGTCCACACACGGGGTAGAAGGGAGTGAGATGGAACAGATGGAGATTAGTCCACACACGTGGTAGAAGGGAGTGAGATGGAACAGATGGAGATTAGTCCACCCACAGGGTAGAAGGGAGTGAGATGGAACAGATGGAGATTAGTCCACACACGTGGAAGAAGAGCGTGAGATGTAACAGATGGAGATTAGTCCACACACGGGGTAGAAGAGAGTGAGATGGAACAGATGGAGATTAGTGGACACACGTGGTAGAAGGGGAGTGAGATGGAACAGATGGAGACTAGTCCACACACGGGGTAGAATGGAGTGAGATGGAACAGATGGAGATTAGTCCACACACGTGGTAGAAGGGGAGTGAGATGGAACAGATGGAGATTAGTCCACACACGGGGTAGAAGGGAGTGAGATGGAACAGATGGAGATTAGTCCACCCACAGGGTAGAAGGGAGTGAGATGGAACAGATGGAGATTAGTCCACCCACAGGGTAGAAGGTGAGTGAGATGGAACAGATGGAGATTAGTCCACACACGGGGAAGAAGGGAGTGAGATGGAACAGATGGAGATTAGTCCACCCACGGGGTAGAAGGGGAGTGAGATGGAACAGATGGAGATTAGTCCACACACGTGGTAGAAGGGGAGTGAGATGGAACAGATGGAGATTAGTCCACACACAGGGTAGAAGGGAGTGAGATGGAACAGATGGAGATTAGTCCACCCACAGGGTAGAAGGGAGTGAGATGGAACAGATGGAGATTAGTCCACACACGGGGTAGAAGGGAGTGAGATGGAACAGATGGAGATTAGTCCACACACGTGGTAGAAGGGGAGTGAGATGGAACAGATGGAGACTAGTCCACACACGTGGTAGAAGGGGAGTGAGATGGAACAGATGGAGATTAGTCCACACACGGGGTAGAAGGGAGTGAGATGGAACAGATGGAGATTAGTCCACCCACGGGCTAGAAGAGAGTAAGATGGAACAGATGGAGATTAGTCCACACACGGGGTAGAAGAGAGTGATATGGAACAGATGGAGATTAGTCCACCCACGTGGTAGAAGGGAGTGAGATGGAACAGATGGAGATTAGTCCACACACGTGGTAGAAGGGAGTGAGATGGAACAGATGGAGATTAGTCCACACACGTGGTAGGAGGGGAGCGAGAAGGAACAGATGGAGATTAGTCCACCCACGTGGTAGAAGGGCGTGAGATGGAACAGATGGAGATTAGTCCACACACGAGGTAGAAGGGCGTGAGATGGAACAGATGGAGATTAGTCCACACACGTGGTAGAAGGGCGTGAGATGGAACAGATGGAGATTAGTCCACACACGAGGTAGAAGGTGAGTGAGGTGGAACAGATGGAGATTAGTCCACACACGTGGTAGAAGTGAGTGAGATGGAACAGATGGAGATTAGTCCACACACGGGGTAGAAGGGAGTGAGATGGAACAGATGGAGATTAGTCCACACACGTGGAAGAAGAGCGTGAGATGGAACAGATGGAGATTAGTCCACACACGGGGTAGAAGGGAGTGAGATGGAACAGATGGAGATTAGTCCACACACGGGGTAGAAGGGAGTGAGATGGAACAGATGGAGATTAGTCCACACACGAGGTAGAAGGGCGTGAGATGGAACAGATGGAGATTAGTCCACACACGTGGTAGAAGGGCGTGAGATGGAACAGATGGAGATTAGTCCACACACGAGGTAGAAGGTGAGTGAGGTGGAACAGATGGAGATTAGTCCACACACGTGGTAGAAGTGAGTGAGATGGAACAGATGGAGATTAGTCCACACACGGGGTAGAAGGGAGTGAGATGGAACAGATGGAGATTAGTCCACACACGTGGTAGAAGGGGAGTGAGATGGAACAGATGGAGATTAGTCCACACACGGGGTAGAAGGGAGTGAGATGGAACAGATGGAGATTAGTTCACACACCAATGCTCGCCAGACACCGGATCAGGTAACTAATTTGAGGCTGAGTCGACCTAGGGGAGGCCGAGGACCGGCTCAGATAATCGTCACCTGGTGATGTTGGTGGGTTCGTAGTGTAGCGCTAACCACTACACCCACCGCTCCCCACAGACACACACAGTGACACACACACACAGGGACACACACACAGTGACACACACACACAGTGACACACACACAGTGACACACACACACACAGTGACACACACAGTGACACACACACACACAGTGAGACAGACACACAATGACACACACACGGTGACACACACAGTGACACACACACGGTGACACACACACGGTGACACACACAGTGACACACACACACACGGTGACACACACACTGACACACACACTGACACACAAAGATAACACAAAGATAACACAAAGATAACAAAGATCCCCCATATAGCCTTAACAGACTTTAGGGGCAAGTGCTGTTAGCGAGCACCTATGAAGGCCGGAACGGTACACGAGGGGGTGGGTGGCCAGCACCACGCCCGACCGCCTTTGTCTCCCTAGTGGCGATGTTTACTACACACCGCACCAGGTACTCATTTGAGGCTGAGTCGACCTAGGGGAGGCCCGGGACCGGTTCAGATAATCGTCACTGGTGTTGGCCGTGAGCGGGAATCGAACCCGGGTCGCCAGGTTCATAGCGCAGCGTAGCACTAACCGCTACACTATCGCTCCCACACACAGTGACACACACACACACTGACACACACACAGAGACACACACACACAGTGACACACACACACAGTGACACACAATGACACACACACAGTGACGCACACACACAGTGACACACACACACAGAGAGACACAATGACACACACACAGTGACGCACACACACAGTGACACACACACACACACAGAGACACACACACAGTGACACACAATGACACACACACACTGACACACACAGTGACACACACAGTGACACACAATGACACACACTGACACACACACAGTGACACACACACAATGACACACACACACACTGACACACAAAAGATAAAAGACAAAGATCCCCCGTATAGCCTTAACAGACTGTAGGGGCAAGTGCTGTTAGCGAGCACCTATGAAGGCCGGAACGGTACACGAGGGGGTGGGTGGCCAGCACCACGCCCGACCGCCTTTGTCTCCCTAGTGACGATGTTTACACACCACACCAGGTACTCATTTGAGGCTGAGTCGACCTAGGGGAGGCCCGGGACCGGTTCAAATAATCGTCACTGGTGTTGGCCGTGAGCGGGAATCGAACCCGGGTCGCCAGGTTCATAGCGCAGCGCGCTAACCGCTACACTACCGCTCCCCACAACACACACACACAGTGACACACACACACACTGACACACACACAGAGTGACACACAGTGACACACACACACACACAGTGACACACACACAGTGACACACACACAGTGACACACACAGTGACACACACACACTGACACACACACACACGTAAGACAAAGATGACCCGTACAGCCTCCAACAGGCTGTAGGGGCAAGTGCTGTTAGCGAGCACCCATTAAGGCTGAAACGGCACACGAGGGGGTGGGTGGCTACCAGCACCGCGCCCGGCCGCCTTTGTCTCCCCAGTGGCGATGTTCACTACACACCGCTACACCAGCTACTCGTTTGAGGCCGAGTCGACCTAGGGGAGGCCCAGGACCGGTTCAGATAATCGTCACCGGTGGTGTTGGTGGCTGTGAGCATGAATCGAACCAGGGTGGCCGGGTTTGTAGTGCGGGGTAGCGCTAACCACTACACCCACCGCTCACTCCTCAGCTCCACCAGCTCCTCCACCTCCTCCTTCTCGTCCAGCTCCACCATCACCTCGTCCACCATTACCACCACCCCCCCCGCCCAACTCCACCTCCACCACATCCACTACCACCACCACCACCACCACCAACTCCACCACCACCTCCACCATCACCTCCACCACCACCACCCCCCCAACTCCACCACCACCCCCTCCACCTCCTCCTTCTCGTCCAGCTCCACCATCACCACCACCACCTCCACCACCACCACCCCCCCAACTCCACCACCACCACCACCACCTCGTCCACCTCCACCACCACCACCCTAACTCCACCACCACCACCACCACCACCCCCCCAACTCCACCACCACCACCACCACCACCTCGTCCACCTCCACCACCACCCCACCCTAACTCCACCACCTCCACCACCTCCTCCTCCACCACCACCACCACCACCACCACCTCGTCCACCACCACCACCACCCTAACTCCACCACCTCCACCACCTCCTCCTCCACCACCACCACCACCACCACCACCACCTCCTCGTCCACCTCGTCCAACTCCACCACCTCGTCCACCTCCTCGTCCACCACCACCACCTCGCCCTGTGAGTTCACCTCTCCTGTTCGAAGATGTCAGTGGCGGTCTGCAGGTAGCTGTTGACTCGTCCCACTACCCGCTGAGCCTCCGCCAACTCGGCCAGCAGACACGGGGCCACGGTGGGTGGGTCACCACCACCACCACCACCGTCACCACCACCACCACCGTCACCACCACCACCGTCACCACCACCACCACCACCACCGTCACCACCGTCACCACCACCACCACCACCACCACCGTCACCACCACCACCACCACCACCGTCACCACCACCACCACCGTCACCACCACCGTCACCACCACCACCGTCACCACCACCACCACCAGCACCGCCACCACCGTCACCACCACCACCACCACCGTCACCACCACCACCACCACCGCCACCACCATCACCACCACCACCACCACCGTCACCACCACCACCACCACCGCCACCACCATCACCACCACCACCACCACCACCGTCACCACCACCACCACCACCGTCACCACCACCACCACCACCGTCACCACCACCACCACCACCACCGTCACCACCACCACCACGTGAGCGCAGGGCGGCCTCCAACAGCGGGAAAGTTCCACTCCAGCCACGGCTCGGCCTCATCAGCAAGTGGCTGTGATGTAGGGGGAGGGGGTGGAGGGGGAGGGCGGAGGGGGTGGAGGGGGGGAAGTGGACACCATCAACAACAACCACCACCAGCCTCCTCCACACACGACGACGACACAACAGCGGAATCACAACCTTCAGCTACTCAACAACAACAGCCATTCGCCAACAAGATGTCACCACGACATCTACTCACCCACTCGCCAACTCACCAACCCACTCACTCAGTCACCCACTCACTCACTCACTCACCCACCCACCCACTCACTCACTCACCCACCCACCCACCCACTCACTCACCCACCCACCCACTCACCCACCCACCAACTCACTCACCCACCCACCCACCCACTCACTCACTCACCCACCCACTCACTCACTCACCCACCCACCCACCCACCCACTCACTCACCCACCCACCCACTCACTCACTCACTCACCCACCCACCCACTCACCCACTCACTCACTCACTCACCCACTCACCCACCCACTCACCCACTCACTCACTCACCCACCCACCCACCCACTCACCCACTCACTCACTCACTCACTCACCCACCCACCCACTCACTCACCCACCCACCCACCCACCTACTCATCCACCCACTCACTGACACTGACTCACCCACCCACCCGCACACCCACTCACTCACCCACCCACCCACCCACCCACCTACTCATCCACCCACTCACCCACTCACTCACCCACCCACCCACTCACTCATTCACCCACCCACCCACTCACCCACCCACCCACCCACCCACTCACCCACCCACCCACCCACTCACCCACCCACCCACCCACTCACTCACTCACCCACCCACCCACTCACTCACCCACTCACCACCCACTCACTCACCCACACACCCACCCACTCACCCACTCACTCACCCACCCACCCACCCACCTACTCATCCACCCACTCACTCACTCACCCACCCACCCACTCACTCACTCACGCACCCACCCACCCACCTACTCATCCACCCACTCACCCACTCACTCACCCACCCACCCACTCACTCACCCACCCACCCACCCACTCACTCACCCACCCACACACTCACTCACCCACCCACTCACCCACTCACCCACCCACCCACCCACTCACTCACTCACTCACCCACCCACTCACCCACTCACTCACCCACCCACCCACTCACTCACTCGCCCACCCACCTACTCACTCACTCACTCACCCACCCACCCACCCACCTACTCATCCACCCACTCACTCACCCACTCACCCACCCACTCACCCACTCACCCACCCACTCACCCACCCACCCACTCACTCACCCACTCACCCACCCCACCCACCCACTCACCCACCCACCCACCCCACTCCACCCACCGGGAGATTCCCGGCAAGGCCCGCCACGACTCCCCGTCCGCCCCACAGGACGACAACGACGAGGACCACGATGACGACGACGAGGATGAGGATGAAGAGGAGGTGAGGAAGGCCCTCTCGACGGAGCGCAGGGCGTCGTTGAGCGAGCGAAGTCGCAACTCCACTCCACGCTCAGCGGGGTCGTTGCTGGGCCGGTTGACGGCTGACTGCAGCCGGGCCGACGTCTCCCGCAGTGAGCGGGCCAGCGACACGGCGTCACTCATCGCCTCGCGGGGCAAGCACGGGGGGGCTGGGGGGGCGGGGGGGGGGGGCAGGGGTGACCACGCATCACGTTGGGAGACACTCAGTCACACACCCAGTCACTCACACACTCACTCACACACTCACTCACACACTCACTCACTCACTCGCGTACTCACTCAGCCATCCACTCACTCACTCACGTACTCACTCACCCATCCACTCACTCACTCACTCACCCACTCGCGTACTCACTCACCCACTCACTCACTCAGCCACTCACTCACCCACTCACATACCCACTCACTCACTCACCCACTCACTCACCCATCCACTCACTCACTCACGTACTCACTCACCCATCCACTCACTCACTCACTCACGTACTCACTCACCCATCCACTCACTCACTCACTCACATACTCACTCAGCCACCCACTCACCCACTCACTCAGTCACACACTCACTCAGTCACTCACTCGCGTACTCACTCAGCCACCCACTCACCCACTCACTCAGCCACCCACTCACCCACCCACTCACCCACTCACTCACACACTCACTCACACACTCACTCACACACTCACTCACGTACTCACTCAGCCACCCACTCACACACTCACTCACTCACACACTCACTCAGTCACTCACACACCCACTCACCCACTCACTCACTCACTCACAAACTCACTCAGTCACTCACCCACTCACCCACCCACTCACCTGCTCGCCCGACCACTCACTCACTCAGCCACCCGCCCACTCACTCATCCACCCACACACCCACTCACTCACTCACCCACCCACTCACCCACCCACACACTCACCCACCCACAAACCCACCCACCCACACACCCACTCACTCACCCACTCACTCAATCACCCACTCATTCACTCACCCACCCACACACTCACCCACCCACAAACCCACCCACCCACACACCCACTCACTCACTCACTCACCCACCCACCCACTCACTTACTCACCCACCCACCCACAAACCCACTCACCCACTCACTCACCCACCCACACACCCACTCACACACTCACCCACTCACTCACCCACTCACTCACCCACTCACACACTCACTCACTCACCCACTCACTCACACACTCACTCACCCACTGACTCACTCACGCACCCACACACCCACTCACACACTCACCCACTCACTCACACACTCACTCACTCACCCACTGACTCACTCACTCACCCACTCACACACTCACTCACTCACCCACTCACCCACCCACACACCCACTCACACACTCACCCACTCACTCACACACTCACTCACTCACCCACTGACTCACTCACTCACTCACACACTCACCCACTCACTCACCAACTCACCCACTCACTCACCCACTCACTCACCCACTCACTCACCCACCCACTCACCCCGCTGCTGAAGTGCGTCCACCATTATCTGCACGTCCAGCGCCGGGTCGATGACCCGCAGGGGCAGCACCGCGTCGTCCACCAATCGCAGCGCGGCTCGCACGCTCAACTGCAATGCATTGTGGGTAGGCCACGCGGGGCCTGTTAGCCAATCGCATCGATCGCCGGGGTGGACGCCTTCCTCTGCTCATCCCCAAGACGGACAAAGCCCTAGGACCGGGTTAAGGCATCCAGTGGCTCATCAGCAGCACGGCCAGGCTCTGTTGTATCAATTCTGGGTGAGCTGACCCCAGATGTTTACAGGCAAAAGACCAGGTTTTGACATCGAGTGGCTCATCAGCAGCACGGCCAGGCTCTGTTGTATCAATTCTGGGTGAGCTGACCCCAGATGTTCACAGGCAAAGGACCGGGTTTTGACATCGGGTGTCTCATCAACAGCACGGCCAGGCTCTGATGCACCAATTCTGGGTGAGCTGACCCCAGATGTTCACAGGCAAAGGACCGGGTTTTGACATCGGGTGTCTCATCAGCAGCACGGCCAGGCTGTGCCCGAGTCAACGGCGGTGGAACTGCCCCAGATGTTTACAGGCAAAGGACCGGGTTTTGACATCGGGTGGCTCATCAGCAGCACGGCCAGGCTGTGATGTACCAATTCTGGGTGAGCTGACCCCAGATGTTCAGAGGCAAAAGACTGGGTTTTGACATCGGGTGTCTCATCAGCAGCACGGCCAGGCTGTGCCCGAGTCAACGGCGGTGGAACTGCCAAAGATGTTCACAGGCAAAAGATCGGGTTTTGACATCCAGTGGCTCATCAGCAGCATGGCCAGGCTCTGATGTACCAATTCTGGGTGAGCTGACCCCAGATGTTCACAGGCAAAGGACCGGGTTTTGACATCCAGTGTCTCATCAGCAGCACGGCCAGGCTCTGTTGTATCAATTCTGGGTGAGCTGACCCCAGATGTTCACAGGCAAAGGACCGGGTTTTGACATCGAGTGGCTCATCAGCAGCACGGCCAGGCTGTGCCCGAGTCAACGGCGGTGGAACTGCCAAAGATGTTTACGGGCAAAAGACCGGGTTTTGACATCGGGTGTCTCATCAGCAGCACGGTCAGGCTGTGCCGGAGTCAACGGCGGTGGAACTGCCCCAGATGTTTACAGACAAAAGACCGGGTTTTGACATCGGGTGTCTCATCAGCAGCACGGCCAGGCTGTGCCCGAGTCAACGGCGGAGAAACCGCCCCAGATGTTCACAGGCAAAGGACCGGGTTTTGACATCCAGTGTCTCATCAGCAGCACGGCCAGGCTGTGATGCACCAATTCTGGGTGAGCTGACCCCAGATGTTCACAGGCAAAGGACCGGGTTTTGACATCGGGTGTCTCACCAGCAGCACGGCCAGGCTGTGCCCGAGTCAACGGCGGTGGAACTGCCCCAGATGTTCACAGGCAAAGGACCGGGTTTTGACATCGAGTGGCTCATCAGCAGCACGGACAGGCTGTGATGTACCAATTCTGGGTGAGCTGACCCCAGATGTTTACAGGCAAAAGACCGGGTTTTGACATCGGGTGTCTCATCAGCAGCACGGCCAGGCTGTGCCCGAGTCAACGGCGGAGAAATCCGCCCCAGATGTTCACAGGCAAAGGACCGGGTTTTGACATCGAGTGTCTCATCAGCAGCACGGCCAGGCTCTGATGTATCAATTCTGGGTGAGCTGACCCCAGATGTTCACAGGCAAAGGACCGGGTTTTGACATCCAGTGTCTCATCAGCAGCACGGCCAGACTGTGATGTACCAATTCTGGGTGAGCTGACCCCAGATGTTCACAGGCAAAGGACCGGGTTTTGACATCGGGTGTCTCATCAGCAGCACGGCCAGGCTCTGTTGTATCAATTCTGGGTGAGCTGACCCCAGATGTTCACAGGCAAAGGACCGGGTTTTGACATCGAGTGGCTCATCAGCAGCACGGCCAGGCTGTGCCCGAGTCAACGGCGGTGGAACTGCCAAAGATGTTTACGGGCAAAAGACCGGGTTTTGACATCCAGTGTCTCATCAGCAGCACGGCCAGGCTGTGCCCGAGTCAACGGCGGAGAAACCGCCCCAGATGTTCACAGGCAAAGGACCGGGTTTTGACATCCAGTGTCTCATCAGCAGCACGGCCAGGCTGTGATGCACCAATTCTGGGTGAGCTGACCCCAGATGTTCACAGGCAAAGGACCGGGTTTTGACATCGAGTGGCTCATCAGCAGCACGGACAGGCTGTGATGTACCAATTCTGGGTGAGCTGACCCCAGATGTTTACAGGCAAAGGACCGGGTTTTGACATCGGGTGTCTCACCAGCAGCACGGCCAGGCTCTGCTGTACCAATTCTGGGTGAGCTGACCCCAGATGTTCACAGGCAAAGGACCGGGTTTTGACATCGGGTGTCTCATCAGCAGCACGGCCAGGCTGTGCCCGAGTCAACGGCGGAGAAACCGCCCCAGATGTTCACAGGCAAAGGACCGGGTTTTGACATCGAGTGTCTCATCAGCAGCACGGCCAGGCTGTGATGTACCAATTCTGGGTGAGCTGACCCCAGATGTTCACAGGCAAAGGACCGGGTTTTGACATCGGGTGTCTCATCAGCAGCACGGCCAGGCTCTGTTGTATCAATTCTGGGTGAGCTGACCCCAGATGTTCACAGGCAAAGGACCGGGTTTTGACATCGGGTGTCTCATCAGCAGCACGGCCAGGCTCTGTTGTATCAATTCTGGGTGAGCTGACCCCAGATGTTCACAGGCAAAGGACCGGGTTTTGACATCGGGTGTCTCATCAGCAGCACGGCCAGGCTGTGCCCGAGTCAACGGCGGTGGAACTGCTACGTTGTATTGCATTGTAGCTCTAAGTCATTTGTCCCTGATGGTGATCGCTTGCGTTGCGATCTGAACGTCGCATGCTATAAATTTATTTATTTTTTATTTATTTATAGTTTGGCCCTTTAACATCTTGGAACAAATCCCGCTCTTGTGGTACCCGATGGTTATTTCGGTGGGGTCAAGTGGAAAGAGAACAAAAAAGAGATTAGCAATGAAATCATGAAAAATAAATTGATATAAAGCGAATTCCTTTATTTTTTATTATTCTAATATGAAAAAAGCGAATGCTTTTTCTTTTTGTGTTATTTTAAAAAATATATAAAGTGCGATACTTTATTTTTTATTATTTTTTTAATAAAAAAATAAAGCGGATACTTTTATTTTTATTATTTTAATAAAAATAAAGCGGGTACTTTTATTTTTATTATTTTAATAAAAAATAAAGCGGATACTTTTAATCTTATTATTTTAATAAAAAAATAAAGCGGATACTTTTATTTTTATTATTTTAATAAAAAATAAAGCGGATACTTTCATTTTTATTATTTTAATAAAAAATAAAGCGGATACTTTTAATCTTATTATTTTAATAAAAAATAAAGTGGATACTTTTATTTTTATTATTTTAATAAAAAATAAAGCGGATACTTTTATTCTTCTTATTTTAATAAAAAAATAAAGCGGATACTTTCATTTTTATTATTTTAATAAAAAAAAAGCAGATACTTTTATTTTTATTATTTTAATAAAAAAATAAAGCGGATACTTTTATTCTTCTTATTTTAATAAAAAATTAAAGCGGATACTTTCATTTTTATTATTTTAATTAAAAAAAAGCAGATACTTTTATTTTTATTATTTTAATTAAAAAAAAGCAGATACTTTTATTTTTATTATTTTAATAAAAATATAAAGCAGATACTTTTATTATTATTATTTTAATAAAAAATTAAAGCGGATACTTTTATTTTTATTATTTTAATAAAAAATAAAGCGGATACTTTTATTTTTATTATTTTAATAAAAAATAAAGCGGATACTTTTATTTTTATTATTTTAATGAAAAACAAAGCGGATACTTTTATTTTTATTATTTTAATAAAAAAAATAAAGTTAATTCTTTCATTTTAATTATTAAAAAATAATTAAAGTGAATACTATATTTGTATTATTTTAAGAATTTTTTTTTTTTTATTATTTGTGCTAAATAAAGCGAACACTTTTATTTTCATTATTTTAATAAAAAATTAAAGTGAATACTACATTTGTATTATTTTAATAAAAAAATAAATACTTTCATTAATTGTGCTATTTTCATGATTTCATCGTGATGTTTCGTCGATCTACGTGACTTTACCGAAATAACCCGCAGAGCACGAATTCCTGAGGTCGGCGAAAGTTTTGAGTCAAAAAAAAATCTCTCGTTATATCGAGATGCTGTCAAGGGAGCCCGCCATAGTAACGTGGAGTTGACGCGGGCCTCCGTACCCGCGTGATGTTCGCGTGGAGCGAGCAGTTGGGATCGAGGAGCTGCAGTCGACTCTCTGGGATGTCCAGCTTCTCCAGGACGGTGAAGTCGGACTCATCCTGCGGGAAGAGGATGAAGAGTGAAGGGACTGAGACTCAGGGAGGGAAATCTCCCTCCCCCTCTCCCTCCCTCCCCTCTCTCTCCCTCCCCCTCTCCCTCCCTCCCCCTCTCCCTCCACCCCCCTCCCTCCCTCCCCTCTCCCTCCCCCCTCCCTCCCCTCTCCCTCCTCTCCCTCCACCCCCTCCCCTCTCCCTCCCTCCCTCCCCCTCTGCCTCCATCCCTCCCTCCCTCTCCCTCCCCCTCTCCCTCCTCTCTCCCTCCCTCCCCCTCTCCCTCCCTCCCTCCCCCTCTCCCTCCCTCCCCCCCTCTCCCCCCCTCTCCCTCCCTCCCTCCCCTCTCCCTCCCCTCTCCCTCCCTCCCTCCCCCCTCCCTCCCCCCCCCTCCCCCTCCCTCTCCCTCCCCCTCCCTCCCCCTCCCTCTCCCTCCCCCCCTCCCTCCCCTCTCCTCTCCCTCCACCCCCCTCCCCCTCCCTCCCTCCCCTCTCCCTCCCTCCCCCTCCCTCCCTCCCTCTCCCTACCCTCTCCCTCCCTTCTCCCTCCCTCCACCCCCTCCCCCTCCCTACCTCCCCTCCCTCTCCCTCTCCCTCCCTCCCCTCTCCCTCCCTCTCTCCCTCCCTCCCTCCCTCCCTCCCCCTCCCTCCACCCCCCTCCCCTTTCCCTCCCCCTCACCTCTCCTTCTCCCTCCCCTCTCCCTCCCCGCAGGTAACCTCCCCCCCTTCCCCCCCTCCCACCCGCCCCCCCTCCCCCCCCTCCCACCCCCCCCACCCCCCCCACGCACATCCCCGTGAAGGAACTTGAGTGTGGCGAGGGCGACGTCGTCCGTGAAGATGGCCACGTCGCCTGTGGACGCGGCGCTGTGGACGGGCGTCTCGGGGCCGGCCCAGCCGCGGCAAGACTCCTGCACGGGGGAGAGGCACTGCACGGTGAGGCACCAACACCAACACCAACATCACCTGCATCACCACCACCTACACCACCTACACCACCACCAACACCTACACCAACACTACCACCTGCATCACCACCACCACCACCTGCACCACCACCTAAACCACCTGCATCACCACCACCTACACCACCACCACCACCTGCATCATCACCACCAACACCTGCATCATCACCACCAACACCTGCATCACCACCACCTACACCACCACCACCACCACCTGCATCACCACCACCACCACCACCTACACCACCACCACCACCACCACCTGCATCACCACCACCACCACCTGCATCACCACCACCACCACCTACACCACCACCACCACCACCTGCATCACCACCACCACCACCACCACCTACACCACCACCACCTGCACCACCACCACCACCACCAACACCACCACCTACACCACCACCACCACCTACACCACCTGCACCACCACCACCACCACCTACACCACCACCTACACCACCACCACCTACACCACCTGCATCACCACCACCTACACCACCACCACCACCTGCATCACCTGCACCACCAACACCTACACCACCACCACCTGCACCACCACCACCACCACCTGCACCACCACCACCACATGCACCACCACCACTACCATCAGCACCACCACCACCTGCACCACCACCACCACCAGCACCACCACCTGCACCACCACCTGCACCACCACCACCCACACCACCACCACCAACAACCGTCATTCACCACTAAGTGGCGGTGACGTCACCACGATGCTTGTGCCAGGCTATGTGCACCCTGAGGCCACGTGAAGTGTCGAACGCCCGCTGGCAGGAGGTCACGGGGCAGACCCAGGTGCCACGGGTCGACTGACTGAGATGACTGAGATGACTGGTTGATGCACCACCTGTGCCCCCTACTGTGCCAACCTGCTGTGCTTTAGCCACCCGGCGCTACGCTCGTTGTTGTGAGCGTTGCTCCTCCGCCCTCCGTTGTTGTTGGAGGGCGACTACCTCCAACTGCCCAGTAGCATCCTTCACGAGCCTCCTCCACAGAGGCCGATCTTGACACCGCTGGTACCAGTCATCGGCAAGTCCACTCAGTTCCACGTCCTCCTGTACCACATCACTCCATCTCTTCTCTAGCCCGTGCCTCCTGTACCACATCACTCCATCTCTTCTCTAGCCCGTGCCGCGCCCGTTTAACCCCCTCGATCCGGCCGAACAAAAGCTGTTTCGGCATGCGGTGGCTGGGCATGCGGGCTACATGATCCAGCCAACGCAGCCTTGCCTGCCGGAGGAGCTCACCGATGGGACCTTGCCCAGATCTTTCAAGGATTTGTGAGCTCACACAATCCAGTCTGGTTAAACCCAGGACGGATCGTAGGCAGGCCAGCCTAAATGTTTATAACCGGCGAAGATGTTCCATTAGGGGGGTCCACGTTTCGCAAGCGTAGAGAAGGGAGGGAATGACCGTGGCCGAGAAGACCTGCCACCATCACCACCACCGCCACCACTGCCACCACCACATCCACCACCACCACCACCACCACCACTGCCACCACCACCACCACCACTCCACCACTGCCACCACCGCCAACACCACTACCGCCGCCACCACCACCACCTCCAACACCATCACCTCCAACACCACAACCACCATCAAATCCACCACCCCCACCACCACCACCTCCACCACCTCCAAAGCCACCACCACCTCCACCTCCACCACTGCCACCACCACCACCACCACCACCGCCACCACCGCCACCACCACCACCACCACCGCCACCGCCACCACCACCACCACCGCCACCGCCACCACCACCACCACCACCGCCACCACCGCCACCACCACCACCGCCACCACCGCCACCACCACGGCTCCACTCACCCCGCACAGGGAGTCGATCGCGAGCTGGCGCAGCGTTGGCGAGGCGAAGGCCACGGGGGAACGGCCGGCACCGCCGCCGGCACCGCCGCCGGCACCGCCGCCGGATCCGGAGACGGGCAGAGTGAGGCTCACGTACGCCACGGCACGCGAACGCACCACCTCCGACTGCTCCTGGCACGCCACGCACACAACACATACACGTCACACACACACACACACCACACACACCACACACACACCACACACACCACACACACCACACACACACCACACACACACCACACACACCACACATACACACACACCACACACAGACACACACCACACACACACACACCACACACACACCACACACACACACCACACACACACGCCACGCACACACACACACTACACACACCACACATACACACACACCACACACAGACACACACCACACACACACACCACACACACACCACACACTACACACACACCACACACACAGCACACACACACACCACACACACACCACACACACACCACACACACACCACACACACAGCACACACACACCACACACTACACACACAGCAGACACACAGCACACACACACCACACACACACCACACACACACCACACATCACACACGTCACACACACGTCACACGCACACCACACACACACCACACACACACACCACACATCACACACGTCACACACACGTCACACGCACACCACACACACACCACACACACACTACACACACACCACACACACACACCACACACACACCACACACCACACACACACACCACACACACACCACACACACACTACACACACACCACACACACACACACCACACACACCACACACACACACCACACACTACACACACTACACACACAACACACATACCACACACACCACACACACACCACACACACACACCACACACACCACACACACACACCACACACACCACACATACCACACACACCACACACACACACACCACACACACACCACACACACCACACACACACCACACACACCAAACACACACCACACACACTACACACCACACACACACCACACACACACCACACACACACCACACACACACCACACACACCACACATACACCACACACACACCACACACACATACACACCACACACACCAAACACACACCACACACCACACACACACCACACACACACCACACACTACACACGCACATCACACAAACACCACACACACCACACACACACCACACACTACACACACCACACACACCACACACGCAGAACACACACCACACACACTACACACGCACACCACACACACCAAACACACACCACACACACACCACACACAACAACCGCCATTCGCCACTAAGTGGCGGTGACGTCACCACGACGCTTGTGCCAGGCTATGTGCACCCTGAGGCCACGTGAAGTGTCGAACGCCCGCTGGCAGGAGGTCACGGGGCAGACCCAGGTGCCACGAGTCGACTGACTGAGATGACTGGCTGATGCACCACCTGTGCCCGCTACTGTGCCAACCTGCTGTGCTTTAGCCACCCGGTGCTCCGCTCGTTGTTGTGAGCGTCGCTCCTCCGCCCTCCGTTGTTGTTGGAGGGCGATTGCCTCCAACTGTCCAGTAGCGTCTTTCACGAGCCTCCTCCACAGAGGCCGATCTTGACACCGTTGGTACCAGTCATCGGCAAGTCCACTCAGCTCCACGTCCTCCTGTACCACATCACTCCATCTCTTCTCTAACCCGTGCCGCGCCCGCTTAGCCCCCTCAATCCGGCCGAACAAAAGCTGTTTCGGCATGCGGTGGCTGGGCATGCGGGCTACATGACCCAGCCATCGCAGCCTTCCCCGCCGGAGGAACTCACCGATGGGACCTTGCCCAGATCTTTCAAGGATTTGTGAGCTCCTCACACAATCCAGTCTGGTTAAACCCAGGATGGATCGTAGGCAGGCCAGCCTAAATGTTTCTAACCGGCGAAGATGTTCCATTAGGGGGGTCCACGTTTCGCAAGCGTAGAGAAAGGAGGGAATGACCGTGGCCAAGAAGACCTGAAGCTTAGTGCGGAGCGACAGACCAGGTAGCTTCCACACAGGGTTACGCAACCGATGAAAAGATATTGCCGCTCGACTGATTCGGAGTGAGAACTCTGCTGTTAAACTGGTGCCAGTCATAAGCACACTGCCCAGGTATGGGAAACTCTCCACTCGCTCCACAACTGCCCCATCACTGATTGGGAGTTGTGGGGGTGGAGTGTCCGATGGTACAAAATACCCACGCAGGTGCTTAGTTTTTGTGGGGCTGATGCTAAGGCCCCACCTCTTAGTGGCACGCTCCAGTCTCAGCAGCAGCAGCTCCAACTCCTCCTCTGAATGAGCAGCTATTACCAAATCATCAGCATACATAACCTGGTTGAGCAATAGGGAGCCATCCCTTGACTGCACCCGGGCATCGATCAGCCTCCCATTATATCTGTACCATATGGAGATTCCCCCGGTACAGCTATTGAAGGCTTCACGAACTACGTTGTCAAAATAGATGTTAAATAATGTGGGAGCCAGAGGACATCCCTGTGGCACCCCAAGGTGTACAGGGAATGGCTCTGACTCCCGGCCACGTAGTTTTACCCGGGCCCGCTCACCATCATGAAGGTCCTTAATGATCGTGAGCAGAGGGTCAGGTACTCCAAAAGCACGAAGAACAACCCAGAGCCCAGGCCTACTGATGGTATCATAGGCCTTGACCAGGTCAATAAAGCAGAGATGTAGGTCTTGTTGGAATTCCCTACACCTCTGCTGTAGCAGACCGACAGAAAATATGGCATCTGTGCAGGACCGCCCTTTCCTGAAACCGCACTGGGGCTCCGCAAGCCTCTCCTCAGCGTGCCTGGCAAGGCGATGTTGAATAATCCTTGCCAGGACCTTTCCCGGCACACTGAGGAGTGAGATGCCCCTGTAGTTGTTACAGTCTGTGCGGTCCCCCTTCTTAAAAAGGGGGACCACCAGGGCATCCTTTCAATCCTGCGGAACCCGTCCAGTGGTCCAGACTGTTGTTATGATGTCATATAGGGCAGTCTGTGCACAAACGCTGCCCTCCCTCAGCATTTCGCTTGGGAGATCATCTCTGCCCGCTGCCTTTCCTGGTCTCAGACTCCGGATCGCCTTCAGTACTTCCTCAACAGATGGCACCTCAGCCAGCCACTCACAGGGGGTGACTTCTTCCAATATTTGAGGCACCGCAGCCTCAGCAGGGTCATCCTCACTTTGTGCCACGATGTTTTCCTGGCTGAGGGATTTTCCCTTCCCCAGAACCTCACAGAAATGCTCAGCAAATCTGCAAACCTGTTCCTGGGGGTCGGAGATTGGGTCACCGTTTTTTCCCCTAATGATGGTAATAGGTGTGGCGCTGCAGATTACTTTTTTGATGGAGTTAAATAGAGATTTGTGATCACGGGCCACTGAGGCAGACTCCATCTCCTCAGCAACCCGCGACCACCACCCATCCTTGCAGAGCCTCACGGCTCTCCGAACCTCCGAGCGAAGGCTGCGGTAAGCCTCCTCATTCTCTGACGTGGGATTCTGTAGCCGATGACAGTGGGCCTGTCGCTTTTTCTCAACCATCCTGAAAACTTCCTCTGTCAGCCAGGGTCTCTGGGGAGGTCTGGACCGCGTACCCAAAGCAGCCATTGCAGCTGCATGAGTCACAGTCCTAAACCTCGCCCATTTACCCTCGACATCAGGAGGAGTTGGGGACGATGCCAATCCCAGCCGCAAGCGATGATGAAATTCTCGCTTGGAACTTTCATCAGATAACTGAGACCAGGCCACTTTAGGTTGGAATGGGGTCCTGGGTGTACACCCACCACCGGAGTGGAAGAATGGCAGGCGCATCTTACAGATGACTAGTCGATGGTCAGAGGGCAGATCAGCTCCATGGTAGGTCCTGGTGTCAAGGACATGGGCTCGCATCCGCTGGTCCGTCACTATATAGTCCAGCAGATGTTCTTGCTTGGACCCGGCATGCATCCATGATGTTTCGATTTAAAGCTTTCGTGACTGCAATGATTAATCTTCTTTGGTTCTTTCGGTAAAGTCACGTAGAATGAGAATAAAATAATAAAATAAAATAACACAATAATATTCTCACGACGTTTCGGCCACAACACAAGCGGCCTTCATCAGGTGAAGGGACGAAACTGTCTGGTAGGACAGCGCTGGAGTGAAAGAGCCACGTTCAGATCACGGCCTTTAAGCTGTGTGTAAAGGCCGTGATCTGAACGTGGCTCTTTCACTCCAGCGCTGTCCTACCAGACAGTCTCGCCCCCTTCACCTGATGAAGGCCGCTTGTGTTGTGGCCGAAACGTCGTGAGAATATTATTGTGTTATTTTATTTTATCAATTTATTATTTTATTCTCATTCTACGTGACTTTACCGAAAGAACCAAAGAAGATCCATGATGTTGTGTGGATGCGCCGATGCCGGAACAGCGTGTTGGTAATTACAAGCCCATGGGCTGCACAAAAATCTAGCAGCCTCCTACCGTTGTTATTGAGCTGATCTGGCCCATGCCCTCCAATCACTCCAGACCAGGTGCCAGCATCATGACCAACTCGGGCATTGAAGTCACCCAACATGATGACTCTATCCCGAGGGGCCACTTTAGCCAGCACCTGTGACAGGAGGTCATAGAAGGCATCTGACTCATCGGCTTTGCCTGCATCCCTCCACGGATGTTCATCTTCGGTGGGGGCATAAGTAATGACGACCACCATTCCTCGCCTCCGGTTGATGGGAAGGCGAGCCCAAAGTAGCCTGGGTCTTAAAGCTTCCCACACCTCACTGCCAAGCTCCCACGCCCCCTTCATTCTTTTGTTCAAAAAAAGAGCCACACCCTGTTGTTTGGCAGTCTGCTGCCCCGAGAAGAGGACTGTCCACCCCTCATGGTGGCAGGAGCCAGAGCCGGTCCACCGCACCTCCTGAATACCCACATAGATCCAGGTGGTACCGGTCCAGCTCACGACAGAGGAGTGGCAGCCTCTCCTCCGCAGTGAGCGGACATTCCACGTGGCCACCCGTAGTGGTTTTTCGTTGTTTTTGGAGGAGCCCCGAGGGTAGATATTCAATCTCCTGGCTCCGCCAATTGGGGTTTGGCTAGGAGACATCATAGACGCCTGGCCCCCCGGGGCCTCCGGCACAAGCTTATTCGTTGTATATTTCAGTTTAACTCGCGGTTTAGTGGTAATTAATTGAAGGTGGAGGGGTTACCAGCCCCTCGCACCCATCCAGAGCCCCCGTTTAGCCCCTGTGGTGGACACATATGCCATGAGGGGAGGAGCCAATCACAATTGGACCTCCCCCCACAGCACTGTCCACGACAGAGTTGCCCGTCCACGACAGAGTTGCCCGTCCGGCACCGCGAGGAGGTAGGGGGTTGTTTTGCCGCACACACCACACACACCACACACACACCACACACACCACACACACACCACACACACCACACACCACACACACTACACACGCACCACACACACACCACACACCACACACACTACACACGCACACCACACATACACACACACCACACACACACACCACACACATACACCACACACACACCACACACACTACACACATGCTACATGTATGCTACATGTATGGTGCGTGCAGGTTGTGTGTCTATAGTGTAGTGGAACACACACACACACACACTACACACATGCTACATGTATGCTACATGTATGGTGCGTGTAGGGTGTGTGTCTATAGTGTAGTGGAACACACACACACACTACACACATGCTACATGTATGCTACATGTATGCTACATGTATGGTGCGTGCAGGTTGTGTGTCTATAGTGTAGTGGAACACACACACATGCTACATGTATGCTACATGCATGCGACATGTAGCATGTGTGTGAGTCTATAGTGTAGTGGAACACACACATGCTACACACACGCTACGTGTATGCTACACGTACGCTACATGTATGGTGCGTGTAGGGTGTGTGTCTACAGTGTAGTGGAACACACACACACTACATGTATGCTACATGTATGCTACATGTATGTTGGGTGCAGGGTGTGTGTCTATAGTGTAGTGCAACACACACACACGACATGTATGCTACATGTATGCTACATGTATGTTGGGTGCAGGGTGTGTGTCTATAGTGTAGTGGAACACACACACATGCTACATGTATGCTACATGCATGCGACATGTATGGTGCGTGCAGGTTGTGAGTCTATAGTGTAGTGAAACACACACACGCTACACACACACATGCTACACACATGCTACACGTACGCGACATGTATGCGACATGTATGGTGCGTGCAGGGTGTGTGTCTACAGTGTAGTGGAACACACACACATGCTACATGTATGCTACACGTATGCTACATGTATGCTACATGTATGGTGTCACGTGTGCGTTGGGGGTGTAACCTGGACCCAGGCCCCCAGGGCAGAGGAGGATGAGTCCGCTCCCCAGAGGCCAAAGAGGAGCGATCGCCGTGGCGACCAGCCCCAGCGGTGGCCCGTCGCTAGGGCCCGGGCAGCCATCGTCACGGCAACCACGTCGCCCCGGTAACCGTCGCCAAGGCGACCGCCCACAATAACACAGCGATCTAAGCGGGGACACGCACACACACACACACACACACGCACGCACGTACACACACAGGCACGTATACACGCACGCTCACACGCACACAGACACGCTCACACGCACACACACACACGCACACAGACACACGCACACAGACACACGCACACAGACACACACGCGCACACACACACACGCACACACACACGCACACGCACGCACACGCACGCACGCACACGCACGCACACGCACGCACGCACACACGCACACACACGCACACACACACACACACGCACACACGCACGCACGCACACACACACGCACGCACACACACGCACGCACGCACGCACACACACATACACACGCACCCACACACACGCACACACACACATGCACACGCACGCACACGCACACACGCACACACGCACGCAAATACACGTGCACACACACACAAAAAGACAAAGATCGCCCGTGTAGCCTCTGAAAGACATTTGGGGCAAGTGCTGTGAAGGCTACCGGCACTGTGGCACACGAGGGGGTGGGTGGCTACCAGCACCACGCCCGGCCGCCTTTGTCTCCCCAGTGGCGATGTTCACTACACCACCGCTACACCAGCTACTCGTTTGTGGCCGAGTCAACCTAGGGGAGGCCCAGGACCGGTACAGATAATCGTCACTGGTGGTGTTGGTGGCCGTGAGCGGGAATCGAACCCAGGTCGCCGGGTTTGTAGCGCAGCGTAGCGCTAACCACTACACCCACCACTCCCTACTGCACGGACACACACACACACACACGTACACGCACGTACACACACAGGCACGTACACACGCACACACAGACACACGCACACACAGACACACACACGTACACACACACACACTTACACACACACGCACGTACACACACATGCACGTACACACACACGCACGTACACACACACAGGCGCGTACATACACAGGCGCGTACACACGCACGCTCACACGCACATACAGACACACGCACGCTCACACACACACGGACGTACACACACACAGGCGCGTACACACGCACGCTTACACGCACACACAGACACACGCACGCTCACACGCACAAACACACACACACACACGCACGTACACACACAGGCGCGTACACACGCACACACAGACACACGCACACACAGACACACACACGTACACACACACACACTTACACACACACGCACGTACACACACATGCACGTACACACACACGCACGTACACACACACAGGCGCGTACATACACAGGCGCGTACACACGCACGCTCACACGCACATACAGACACACGCACGCTCACACACACACGGACGTACACACACACAGGCGCGTACACACGCACGCTTACACGCACACACAGACACACGCACGCTCACACGCACAAACACACACACACACACGCACGTACACACACAGGCGCGTACACACGCACGCTCACACGCACACACAGACACACGCACGCTGACACACGCACACACACACACACGCACGTACACACACAGGCACGTACACACGCACGCTCACACGCACACAGGCACACACGCACGCTCACACGCACACACACACGTAAACACACACGCACAGACACATGCACGCTCACACGCACACAGACACACGCACACACACACGCACGTACACACACACGCACACAAACACACGCACGCTTACACGCTCAGACGCACACACGCTGACACGCACGCACACACACAAGGTTTATTTTCTCCCTGAATAATAAGTAAATCAGTGGAGGTGTCCCAGTGTCTCCGACACGCCCATTATGAACCCCCTGAGAGAGAGAGAGAGAGACCCACACCCGGGGCTCGAACCCAGCGTCTCATCTCTACTGGCTCAGTCTCTCTGATGTGGCTACTATGAACTCACTGAGAAACAATCAGGCCAACTGTGTCCTGACTTTTGGGCCACCCTGTACAATAACAACCCCTATGTGTCCTGACTTTTGGGCCACCCTGTACAATAACAACCCCTATGTGTCCTGACTTTTGGGCCACCCTGTACAATAACAACCCCTATGTGTCCTGACTTTTGGGACACCCTGTACAATAACAACCCCTATGTGTCCTGACTTTTGGGCCACCCTGTACAATAACCCTATGTGTCCTGACATTTGGGCCACCCTGTACAATAACAAACCCTATGTGTCCTGACTTTTGGGCCACCCTGTACAATAACAACCCCTATGTGTCCTGACTTTTGGGCCACCCTGTACAATAACAACCCCTATGTGTCCTGACTTTTGGGCCACCCTGTATAATAACAACCCCTATGTGTCCTGACTTTTGGGCCACCCTGTACAATAACAACCCCTATGTGTCCTGACTTTTGGGCCACCCTGTACAATAACAACCCCTATGTGTCCTGACTTTTGGGCCACCCTGTACAATAACAACCCCTATGTGTCCTGACTTTTGGGCCACCCTGTATAATAACAACCCCTATGTGTCCTGACTTTTGGGCCACCCTGTACAATAACAACCCCTATGTGTCCTGACTTTAGGGCCACCCTGTACAATAACAACCCCTATGTGTCCTGACTTTTGGGCCACCCTGTACAATAACAACCCCTATGTGTCCTGACTTTTGGGCCACCCTGTACAATAACAACCCCTATGTGTCCTGACTTTTGGGCCACCCTGTACAATAACAACCCCTATGTGTCCTGACTTTTGGGCCACCCTGTACAATAACCCTATGTGTCCTGACTTTTGGGCCACCCTGTACAATAACAACCCCTATGTGTCCTGACTTTTAGGCCACCCTGTACAATAACAACCCCTATGTGTCCTGACTTTTGGGCCACCCTGTACAATAACAACCCCTATGTGTCCTGACTTTTGGGCCACCCTGTACAATAACAACCCCTATGTGTCCTGACTTTTGGGCCACCCTGTATAATAACAACCCCTATGTGTCCTGACTTTTGGGCCACCCTGTACAACAACAACCCCTATGTGACCTGACTTTTGGGTCACCCTGTACAATAACAACCCCTATGTGTCCTGACTTTTGGGTCACCCTGTACAATAACAACCCCTATGTGTCCTGACTTTTGGGTCACCCTGTACAATAACAACCCCTATGTGTCCTGACTTTTGGGCCACCCTGTACAATAACAACCCCTATGTGTCCTGACTTTTGGGCCACCCTGTATAATAACAACCCCTATGTGTCCTGACTTTTGGGCCACCCTGTACAATAACAACCCCTATGTGTCCTAACTTTTGGGCCACCCTGTACAATAACAACCCCTATGTGTCCTAACTTTTGGGCCACCCTGTACAATAACAACCCCTATGTGTCCTGACTTTTGGGCCACCCTGTACAATAACAACCCCTATGTGTCCTGACTTTTGGGCCACCCTGTACAATAACAACCCCTATGTGTCCTGACTTTTGGGCCACCCTGTACAATAACAACCCCTATGTGTCCTGACTTTTGGGCCACCCTGTACAACAACAACCCCTATGTGTCCTGACTTTTGGGCCACCCTGTACAATAACAACCCCTATGTGTCCTGACATTTGGGCCACCCTGTACAATAACAAACCCTATGTGTCCTGACTTTTGGGCCACCCTGTACAATAACAACCCCTATGTGTCCTGACTTTTGGGCCACCCTGTACAATAACAACCCCTATGTGTCCTGACTTTTGGACCACCCTGTACAATAACAACCCCTATGTGTCCTGACTTTTGGACCACCCTGTACAACAACAACCCCTATGTGTCCTGACTTTTGGGCCACCCTGTACAATAACAACCCCTATGTGTCCTGACTTTTGGGCCACCCTGTACAATAACAACCCCTATGTGTCCTGACTTTTGGGCCAATCTGTACAATAACAACCCCTATGTGTCCTGACTTTTGGGCCACCCTGTACAATAACAACCCCTATGTGTCCTGACTTTTGGGCCACCCTGTACAACAACAACCCCTATGTGACCTGACTTTTGGGTCACCCTGTACAATAACAACCCCTATGTGTCCTGACTTTTGGGTCACCCTGTACAATAACAACCCCTATGTGTCCTGACTTTTGGGTCACCCTGTACAATAACAACCCCTATGTGTCCTGACTTTTGGGCCACCCTGTACAATAACAACCCCTATGTGTCCTGACTTTTGGGCCACCCTGTATAATAACAACCCCTATGTGTCCTGACTTTTGGGCCACCCTGTACAATAACAACCCCTATGTGTCATAACTTTTGGGCCACCCTGTACAATAACAACCCCTATGTGTCCTAACTTTTGGGCCACCCTGTACAATAACAACCCCTATGTGTCCTGACTTTTGGGCCACCCTGTACAATAACAACCCCTATGTGTCCTGACTTTTGGGCCACCCTGTACAATAACAACCCCTATGTGTCCTGACTTTTGGGCCACCCTGTACAATAACAACCCCTATGTGTCCTGACTTTTGGGCCACCCTGTACAATAACAACCCCTATGTGTCCTGACTTTTGGGCCACCCTGTACAATAACAACCCCTATGTGTCCTGACTTTTGGGCCACCCTGTACAATAACAACCCCTATGTGTCCTGACTTTTGGGCCACCCTGTACAATAACAACCCCTATGTGTCCTGACTTTTGGGCAACCCTGTACAATAACAACCCCTATGTGTCCTGACTTTTGGGCCACCCTGTACAATAACAACCCCTATGTGTCCTGACTTTTGGGCCACCCTGTACAATAACAACCCCTATGCGTCCTGACTTTTGGGCCACCCTGTACAATAACAACCCCTATGTGTCCTGACTTTTGGGCCACCCTGTACAATAACAACCCCTATGTGTCCTGACTTTTGGGCCACCCTGTACAATAACAACCCCTATGTGACCTGACTTTTGGGCCACCCTGTACAATAATAACCCCTATGTGTCCTGACTTTTGGGCCACCCTGTACAATAACAACCCCTATGTGTCCTGACTTTTGGGCCACCCTGTACAATAACAACCCCTATGTGTCCTGACTTTTGGGCCACCCTGTACAACAACAACCCCTATGTGTCCTGACTTTTGGGCCACCCTGTACAATAACAACCCCTATGTGTCCTGACTTTTGGGGCACCCTGTACAATAACAACCCCTATGTGTCCTGACTTTTGGGCCACCCTGTACAACAACAACCCCTATGTGTCCTGACTTTTGGGCCACCCTGTACAATAACAACCCCTATGTGTCCTGACTTTAGGGGGCCCACCATGTACAATAACAACCCCTATGTGATCTGACTTTAGGGGGCCCAGCATGTACAATAACAACCCCTATGTGATCTGACTTTAGGGGGCCCAGCATGTACAATAACAACCCCTATGTGACCTGACTTTAGGGGGCCCAGCATGTACAATAACAACCCATATGTGACCTGACTTTAGGGGGCCCAGCATGTACATACTTCACTCACCTGGTTCGTGAGCCCCCTTGATCCAGCCGGTTACCGTGTGCAGCTCCACAGAGGTACAGACGCGGCCCCCCACTCTCAGCCTCACTCGACGCGGAGGGGTGCCCCCTTCTGAAATGACCAGCATGACCACACACTCATTCACCCACTCACTCACCCACTCACTCACCCACACACTCACCCACACACTCACCCACACACTCACCCACACACTCACCCACACACTCACCCACCCACTCACTCACCCACACACTTACCCACTCACTCACTCATACAGTCACCGACTCACCCACCCACTCACTCACACACTCATACACTCACCCACTCACTCACCCACTCACTCAAACACTCACTCACCCACTCATCCACTCATCCACTCACTCACCCACTCACTTACAAACTCACTCACCCACTCACTCATACACTCACTCACACACTCATACACTCACCCACTCACTCACCCACACACGCATACACGCATATACTCACACACTCACCCACTCACTCACCCACACACTCACCCACATACTCACCCACTCACCCACTAACTCACCCACTCACTCAAACACTCACACACATACACTCACCCACTCACTCACCCACTCACTCAAACACTCACCCACTCAAACACTCAATCACCCACTCACTCATACACTCACACACTCACTTACAAACTCACTCAAACACTCACTTACAAACTCGCTCACACACTCACTCACTCATACACTCACACACTCATACATACACTCACACACTCAATCACTCACAAACTCACTCACACACTCACTCACACACTCACTCACACACCCACTCACCCACTCATTCAGCCACTCACTCAAATACTTACTCATACACTCATACACTCACACACTCACTTACTTACAAACTCACTCACACACTCACTCACCCACACACTCACCCACTCACTCAAACACTCACTCATACACTGACTCACCCACACACTCACCCACTCACTTACCCACTCACTCAAACACTCACACACTCATACACTGTGTACATCTACACTGTGTGTGTACACTGTGTGTGTGTGTACACTGTGTGTACGTGTACACTGTGTGTGTGTGTGTGTACACTGTGTGTGCGTGTACACTGTGTGTGCGTGTACACTGTGTGTGTACACTGTGTGTGTGTGTGTACACTGTGTGTGTACACTGTGTGTACACACTGTGTGTGTGTGTACACTGTGTGTACACTGTGTGTGTGTGTACACTGTGTGTGTGTGTACACTGTGTGTGTACACTGTGTGTGTGTGTACACTGTGTACACTGTGTGTGTGTGTACACTGTATGTGTACACTGTGTGTGTGTACACTGTGTGTGTACACTGTGTATGTACACTGTGTGTGTGTGTAAACTGTGTGTGTGTGTACACTGTGTGTGTACACTGTGTGTGTGTACACTGTGTGTGTACACTGTGTGTGTGTACACTGTGTGTGTGTACACTGTGTACTGTGTGTGTACACTGTGTACTGTGTGTGTACACTGTGTACACTGTGTGTGTACACTGTGTGTGTACACTGTGTGTGTGTTTACACTGTGTGTGTACACTGTGTGTGTGTGTACACTGTGTGTGTGTGTACACTGTGTGTGTACACTGTGTGTGTGTGTGTGTACACTGTGTGTGTGTACACTGTGTGTGTGTACACTGTGTGTACACTGTGTGTGTGCACACTGTGTGTGTACACTGTGTACACTGTGTGTGTGTGTGCACACTGTGTGTGTACACTGTGTGTGTACACTGTGTGTGTGTGTACACACTGTGTGTATACACACAGTGTATACACACAGTGTACACTGTGTGTGTATACTGTGTGTGTGTACACAGTGTACACTGTGTGTGTACACTAGTGTGTGTACACTGTGTGTGTACACTAGTGTGTGTACACTGTGTGTGTGTACACTAGTGTGTGTAAACTGTGTGTGTACACTGTGTGTACACTGTGTGTGTGTACACTGTGTGTACACACACACAGTGTACACACACACAATGTACACTGTGTGTGTGTACACTGTGTGTGTGTGTAAACTGTGTGTGTACACTAGTGTGTGTACACTGTGTGTGTGTACACGAGTGTGTGTGTACACTAGTGTGTGTACACTGTGTGTGTGTACACTAGTGTGTGTACACTGTGTGTGTGTACACTAGTGTGTGTACACTGTGTGTGTGTACACTGTGTGTACACTGTGTGTGTACACTGTGTGTACACTGTGTGTGTACACTGTGTGTGTGTACACTAGTGTGTGTACACTGTGTGTGTGTACACTAGTGTGTGTACACTGTGTGTGTACACTATGTGTACACTGTGTGTGTGTACACTGTGTGTACACTGTGTGTGTACACACACACAATGTACACTGTGTGTGTACACTGTGTGTGTGTGTACACTGTGTACACTGTGTGTACACTGTGTGTACACTGTGTACACTGTGTGTGTACACTGTGTGTGTGTGTACACTGTGTGTGTACACTGTGTGTGTGTGTACACTGTGTGTGTGTGTGTACACTGTGTGTGTACACTGTGTGTGTGTGTACACTGTGTGTGTGTACACTGTGTGTACACTGTGTACACTGTGTGTACACTATGTGTACACTGTGTGTGTACACTGTGTGTACACTGTGTACACTGTGTGTGTGCACACTGTGTGTACACTGTGTACACTGTGTGTGTGCACACTGTGTGTGTACACTGTGTGTGTACACTGTGTGTGTGTACACACTGTGTGTGTATATACACAGTGTATACACACAGTGTACACTGTGTGTGTATACTGTGTGTGTGTACACAGTGTACACTGTGTGTGTACACTGTGTACACTGTGTGTGTGTACACTGTGCGTGTACACTGTGCGTGTACACTGTGTGTGTACACGGTGTGTGTGTACACTGTGTACACTGTGTGTGTGTACACTGTGTACACTGTGTGTGTACACTGTGTGTATGTACACTGTGTGTGTGTGTACACTGTGTGTGTACACTGTGTGTGTGTGTGTACACTGTGTGTGTGTACACTGTGTGTGTACACTGTGTGTACACTGTGTGTACACTGTGTGTGTGTACACTGTGTGTACACTGTGTGTATACACTGTGTACACACACACACACAGTGTAAACTGTGTGTGTATACTGTGTGTGTACACAGTGTACACTGTGTGTGTACACGGTGTGTACACTGTGTGTGTACACTGTGTGTGTGTACACTAGTGTGTGTACACTGTGTGTGTGTACACTAGTGTGTGTACACTGTGTGTGTGTACACTAGTGTGTGTAAACTGTGTGTGTACACTGTGTGTACACTGTGTGTGTGTACACTGTGTGTACACACACACAGTGTACACACACACAATGTACACTGTGTGTGTGTACACTGTGTGTGTGTGTAAACTGTGTGTGTACACTAGTGTGTGTACACTGTGTGTGTGTACACTAGTGTGTGTGTACACTAGTGTGTGTGTGTACACTGTGTGTGTGTGTGTACACTGTGTGTGTACACTGTGTGTGTGTGTACACTGTGTGTGTGTACACTGTGTGTACACTGTGTACACTGTGTGTACACTATGTGTACACTGTGTGTGTACACTGTGTGTACACTGTGTACACTGTGTGTGTGCACACTGTGTGTACACTGTGTACACTGTGTGTGTGCACACTGTGTGTGTACACTGTGTGTGTACACTGTGTGTGTGTACACACTGTGTGTGTATATACACAGTGTATACACACAGTGTACACTGTGTGTGTATACTGTGTGTGTGTACACAGTGTACACTGTGTGTGTACACTGTGTACACTGTGTGTGTGTACACTGTGCGTGTACACTGTGCGTGTACACTGTGTGTGTACACGGTGTGTGTGTACACTGTGTACACTGTGTGTGTGTACACTGTGTACACTGTGTGTGTACACTGTGTGTATGTACACTGTGTGTGTGTGTACACTGTGTGTGTACACTGTGTGTGTGTGTACACTGTGTGTGTGTACACTGTGTGTGTACACTGTGTGTACACTGTGTGTACACTGTGTGTGTGTACACTGTGTGTACACTGTGTGTATACACTGTGTACACACACACACACAGTGTAAACTGTGTGTGTATACTGTGTGTGTACACAGTGTACACTGTGTGTGTACACAGTGTACACTGTGTGTGTACACTGTGTACACTGTGTGTGTACACGGTGTGTGTGTACACTGTGTACACTGTGTGTGTACACACACACAATGTACACTGTGTGTGTACACTGTGTGTGTGTGTGTACACTGTGTGTGTACACTAGTGTGTGTACACTGTGTGTGTGTACACTAGTGTGTGTACACTGTGTGTGTACACTGTGTGTACACTGTGTGTGTACACTGTGTGTGTGTGTACACTGTGTGTACACTGTGTGTATGTACACTGTGTGTACACTGTGTGTGTACACTGTGTGTACACTGTGTGTGTGTACACTGTGTGTGTGTGTACACTGTGTGTGTGTGTACACTGTGTGTGTGTACACTGTGTGTGTACACTGTGTGTGTGTACACTGTGTGTGTGTACACTGTGTGTGTGTACACTGTGTGTGTACACTGTGTGTGTACACTGTGTGTGTGTACACTGTGTGTACACTGTGTGTGTGTGTACACTGTGTGTGTGTACACTGTGTGTGTACACTGTGTGTGTGTACACTGTGTGTGTGTACACTGTGTGTGTGTGTACACTGTGTGTGTACACACACACACAGTGTACACGGTGTGTGTGTACGCTAACCTTGCTGACCCCGTGGCCGCTGGCAGGGCCGCTGGGCGTCGCGAGGGGCGAGCTGAGCGGCAAGCGCCGCCGAAATCGTCTCCACCAGGGGGGGCACTGCGGGGGGGGGGGTGACACGGGGGGGGGGGAGGGGGTCAAGGGGGGGGGACATGGGGGGGGCAGGGGGTCAAGGGGGAGGACATGGGGGGGGGGGGGCTGTATGATGGGCGAATGGGCAGATGGGTGAGTTTAATGAGTAGGTGGGTGGGTGAGTGAGTGGGTGGGTGAGTGAGTGGGTGAGTGAGTGAGTGGGTGAGTGAGTGAGTGGGTGAGTGAGTGGGTGGGTGAGTGAGTGGGTGAGTGAGTGAGTGGGTGAGTGAGTGGGTGGGTGAGTGGGTGATTGAGTGAGTGGGTGGGTGAGTGAGTGATTGGGTGAGTGAGTGGGTGAGTGAGTGGGTGAGTAAGTGGGTGAGTGAGTGAGTGGGTGAGTGAGTGGGTGAGTAAGTGGGTGATTGAGTATGTTAATGACTGTGTGAGTGATTGGGTGACTGAGTGGGTGGGTGACTGAATGAGTGGGTCAATGAGTGAGTGCGTGAGTGAGTGAATGAGTGGCTGAGTGAGTGACTGAGTGAGTGGGTGAGTGAGTGGCTGAGTGAGTGAGTGACTGTATGAGTGGGTGAGTGAGTGGGTCAGTGAGTGACTGAGTGACTGAGTCAGTGAGTGACTGTATGAGTGGGTGAGTGAGTGGGTGAGTGAGTGGCTGAGTGAGTGGGTCAGTGAGTGAGTGAATGTATGAGTGACTCTATGAGTGGGTGAGTGAGTGGCTGAGTGAGTGGGTCAGTGAGTGAGTGACTGTATGAGTGACTGTATGAGTGGCTGAGTGAGTGGCTGAGTGAGTGAGTGACTGTATGAGTGACTGTATGAGTGGCTGAGTGAGTGTGTCAGTGAGTGAGTGACTGTGTGAGTGACTGTATGAGTGGCTGAGTGAGTGACTGTATGAGTGGCTGAGTGAGTGTGTCAGTGAGTGAGTGAGTGGCTGAGTGAGTGAGTGACTGTATGAGTGGCTGAGTGTGTCAGTGAGTGAGTGACTGTATGAGTGACTGTATGAGTGGCTGAGTGAGTGGCTGAGTGAGTGAGTGATTGTATGAGTGGCTGAGTGAGTGACTGTATGAGTGGCTGAGTGAGTGTGTCAGTGAGTGAGTGACTGTGTGAGTGGCTGAGTGAGTGGATGTGTCAGTGAGTGAGTGAGTGTGTCAGTGAGTGAGTGTGTCAGTGAGTGAGTGACTGTATGAGTGGCTGAGTGAGTGACTGTATGAGTGGCTGAGTGAGTGTGTCAGTGAGTGAGTGGATGTATGAGTGGCTGAGTGAGTGTGTCAGTGAGTGAGTGACTGTATGAGTGACTGTATGAGTCACTGTATGAGTGGCTGAGTGAGTGTGTCAGTGAGTGAGTGACTGTGTGAGTAGCTGAGTGAGTGACTGTATGAGTGGCTGAGTGAGTGTGTCAGTGAGTGAGTGACTGTGTGAGTGGCTGAGTGAGTGAGTGACTGTATGAGTGACTGTGTGAGTGTGAATGCGTTTTTCCCGTGCGTGCAGTCGCCCACAAGCAGCAGCAGAGGGCAGAGGAGCTCCGCTCACCGCGACACCGAGCGGAGCTCCGGACCACCGAGAACGCAGCGTGGGACGCAGTTTGTGCATCTGACAGTCGTGGTAGCGGAAACGCTGGTGGAGCCACTCGGGTGGGACGTGCCCCCCCCCTCGCCCCCCCCTCGCCCCCCCCCTCGCCCCTCCCCTCGCCCCCCCCCTCGCCCCCCCCCCCCCAATGATCCGATCGAAAATCGGCATTTTGCGAGCACCACTGCCTCCGTGTAGCGTGTTATTATTATTACAGTGATGGAAACAACGTATTTGATCCCACGCTGATTTTGAACGTTTGCCCACTGGGCAAAGAAATGATCAGTCTATAATTGTAATGGTGGGTCTATTTGAACAGTGAGAGATAGAATAGTGGGTGAGTGAGTAGGTGAGTGAGTGAGTGGGTGAGTGAGTGAGTGAGTGGGTGAGTGAGTGGGTGAGTGAGTGAGTGGGTGAGTGAGTGGGTGGGTGAGTGGGTGATTGAGTGAGTGAGTGGGTGGGTGATTCAGTGAGTGAGTGGGTGATTGAGTGAGTGAGTGGGTGGGTGGGTGATTGAGTGAGTGGGTGAGCGAGTGGGTGAGCGAGTGGGTGAGTGAGTGGGTGAGTAAGTGGGTGATTGAGTATGTTAATGACTGTGTGAGTGATTGGGTGACTGAGTGGGTGGGTGACTGAGTGAGTGGGTCAATGAGTGAGTGCGTGAGTGAGTGAGTGGCTGAGTGAGTGACTGAGTGAGTGGGTGAGTGAGTGGCTGAGTGAGTGAGTGACTGTATGAGTGGGTGAGTGAGTGGGTCAGTGAGTGACTGAGTGACTGAGTCAGTGAGTGACTGTATGAGTGGGTGAGTGAGTGAGTGGCTGAGTGAGTGGGTCAGTGAGTGAGTGAATGTATGAGTGACTGTATGAGTGGGTGAGTGAGTGAGTGGCTGAGTGAGTGGGTCAGTGAGTGAGTGACTGTATGAGTGACTGTATGAGTGGCTGAGTGAGTGGCTGAGTGAGTGAGTGACTGTATGAGTGACTGTATGAGTGGCTGAGTGAGTGTGTCAGTGAGTGAGTGACTGTGTGAGTGACTGTATGAGTGGCTGAGTGAGTGACTGTATGAGTGGCTGAGTGAGTGTGTCAGTGAGTGAGTGAGTGGCTGAGTGAGTGAGTGACTGTATGAGTGGCTGAGTGTGTCAGTGAGTGAGTGATTGTATGAGTGACTGTATGAGTGGCTGAGTGTGTCAGTGAGTGAGTGACTGTATGAGTGACTGTATGAGTGGCTGAGTGAGTGGCTGAGTGAGTGAGTGACTGTATGAGTGACTGTATGAGTGGCTGAGTGAGTGTGTCAGTGAGTGAGTGACTGTATGAGTGGGTGAGTGAGTGGCTGAGTGAGTGGCTGAGTGAGTGGTTGAGTGAATAAGTGACTGTATGAGTGGGTGAGTGAGTGACTGTATGAGTGACTGTATGAGTGACTGTGTGAGTGGCTGAGTGTGTCAGTGAGTGAGTGACTGTGTGAGTGACTGTATGAGTGGCTGAGTGAGTGTGTCAGTGAGTGAGTGACTGTGTGAGTGGCTGAGTGAGTGACTGTATGAGTGGCTGAGTGAGTGTGTCAGTGAGTCAGTGGATGTATGAGTGGCTGAGTGAGTGTGTCAGTGAGTGAGTGACTGTGTGAGTGGCTGAGTGAGTGACTGTATGAGTGGCTGAGTGAGTGTGTCAGTGAGTGAGTGACTGTGTGAGTGGCTGAGTGAGTGACTGTATGAGTGGCTGAGTGAGTGTGTCAGTGAGTGAGTGACTGTGTGAGTGGCTGAGTGAGTGACTGTATGAGTGGCTGAGTGAGTGTGTCAGTGAGTGAGTGACTGTGTGAGTGGCTGAGTGAGTGACTGTATGAGTGGCTGAGTGAGTGGCTGAGTGAGTGTGTCAGTGAGTGAGTGACTGTATGAGTGACTGTATGAGTGGCTGAGTGAGTGTGTCAGTGAGTGAGTGACTGTGTGAGTGGCTGAGTGAGTGACTGTATGAGTGGCTGAGTGAGTGTGTCAGTGAGTGAGTGACTGTGTGAGTGGCTGAGTGAGTGACTGTATGAGTGGTTGAGTGAGTGGCTGAGTGAGTGTGTCAGTGAGTGAGTGACTGTATGAGTGACTGTATGAGTGGCTGAGTGAGTGTGTCAGTGAGTGAGTGACTGTGTGAGTGGCTGAGTGAGTGGCTGAGTGAGTAAGTGACTATATGAGTGGCTGAGTGAGTGTGTCAGTGAGTGAGTGACTGTGTGAGTGGCTGAATGAGTGACTGTATGAGTGGCTGAGTGAGTGTGTCAGTGAGTGAGTGACTGTATGAGTGGCTGAGTGAGTGTGTCAGCGAGTGAGTGACTGTATGAGTGGCTGAGTGAGTGGCTGAGTGAGTGGCTGAGTGAGTGTGTCAGTGAGTGAGTGACTGTGTGAGTGGCTGAGTGAGTGAGTGACTGTATGAGTGACTGTGTGAGTGTGAATGCGTTTTGCCCGTGCGTGCAGTCGCCCACAAGCAGCAGCAGAGGGCAGAGGAGCTCCACTCGCCGCGACACCGAGCGGAGCTCCGGACCACCGAGAACGCAGCGTGGGACGCAGTTTGTGCATCTGACAGTCGTGGTAGCGGAAACGCTGGTGGAGCCACTCGGGTGGGACGTGCCCCCCCCCTCGCCCCCCCCTCGCCCCCCCTCGCCCCCCCCCCTCGCCCCTCCCCTCGCCCCCCCCCCTCGCCCCCCCCCCCCAAATGATCCGATCGAAAATCGGCATTTTGCGACCACCACTGCCTCCGTGTAGCGTGTTATTATTATTACAGTGATGGAAACAAAGTATTTGATCCCACGCTGATTTTGTACGTTTGCCCACTGGGCAAAGAAATGATCAGTCTATAATTTTAATGGTGGGTCTATTTGAACAGTGAGAGACAGAATAGTGGGTGAGTAAGTGGGTGAGTGGGTGGGTGAGTGAGTGGATGAGTGAGTGAGTG